TGTATTCTTTTGGAAAACGCACCGCCACTTTCTTCCACGAGACAACGTCCACCAGACCACGTCACAATGATACAATTTGAAGAAACACCTAAAATGAATCATAATATCACAAAAATTCAATGTGGTGATGGGGATGGTCGTACAATATAATGTTTGTGGCAAGAGTTTTGAGCCACACAAAATCTCCAAGTACTTTCACTCTTGGATGTTCAAGTATTTGTCAATCAGATTTCCGTTTTCATTGTTATGACACAGTATATCTAACTCATACTGGCTAAGGATGGCGCCTACTGGTGGTCTTTGTGTGGACTGAACAGAACATCTAATAATATCGCTGAGGATATGCATATTTCATGTGTTTTTACAGCTATTCCTCAGACCTGCTTTGCCGCGCTGATTTAGTCGTACATTTGCCTGTCACTACATACCTTTCCATTTCCTGTTCAAATTACTGCTCATGTTTAATGCACACTCGAAACATGCATTCTCATTTAACCAGGATAAATTATTCAGGTAAAAGATGATAGATGGCAGAAGGAGACATAAGTGCAGAGACTTAATCATACGACCAGATTAAATGCATAAAGTAAACTGCACATTTGGCCACAATAATATATGTGACATACTGCTCTACTGTAATAGATTTCACTTTTGATTTATGGACAATGATCAGTTACATGAGGGAAAAGAGTGTGGTAGAAACAATGAGAATCTGCTCAAAACATTAAGTATCTCACAATTATATGGTTGAGTTTGTTTGTTTCATTGTTTAGGTCAAACCTGCACAAAAACAGCTGAGCAGAAACAGACAGACGTCCAGGAGCTCTTTCTGAGGATATGCACTCTGCGCTCTTCACCAAAGACCATTCAATTCAATTTCATGTTATTCTTCAAGACATCTTGAAATTGTGTGCACATATTTGTGACATTGTGGAAAAAGACAGACAAGGATTTGTGATGACTACTCCTGTTCTATATTTTACTCTTTTTGTAAAATATTTGCATCAACAAAAATGTCCATCCCCTTTATGAAGTGTATATTCTCTTCTCAATTCTGGACCCTTTTAATTGTGTGAATATTGCCATGACATAATTGCTCTTTATCCACTAAAGAACAGTTGTATTTACTGTGGTTCACCATCCCACTCTCTACTGAGGCAATGATTTTCTTTTGTTGATTGATTTTCTGTTTTTGACCCCCTGTTGGACAGCATGAACTCCTTGACCTCCTGTTATTTGAATTGTCTATGTACTTCAGCTTCAGTTCTAAAAGTGTAATTGTCTCTAATGGTTTTTTGCGCTACACGCTGCAGTACTGCACTCCTGATTTTTTTTTTCTTTTTGCATCAATGAAGGGAAACAAAAATAAGGATGGATATTCCATTTACAGTAAAAATGATCCATCCACCCATTTTCTTCCCCATATTCCATTTCTGGGTGGGTGGCAATCATTGATCTAAACTGATGCCGAGGACCAACCCTCACTTGCCATAGTTTTGGAAAAAGTTGGGCTTATCAAAGAAGAAGCCAATTAGAGCTTCTTTAGATTGAGTAACTCAAGCAGGCTCCATAGGCAAACATCTGGACCAAATGTTCTGATTGCAACTTCATAGCAACCAAAGAGCCAAACAGGAAGAGCTTTCGTTCCCTCTGTTCTGTACCAAATTTGCGGACAGAAAGCTCATGTTTGGTCAGGTGGAAGGGGTTGAATCTGGATAGAATCTCGATAGATTATCTAGACAAGATAACAAAAGACAATAAAAAACCACCTGTTTCATATAGAGCTTCCAAAAAGTGCTAAGTGCCATCAAGGTGCTTCACACCTGTTGGGATTATTGTAGTTATCGACAATCTGGTCCTGAAGGTAAAAGTTCAAACTGCACTCTCAGATGGGGCTGGCCTTTTTCAGCACCCTCAGCATCCCAACCACTAACTGAAAGATAATCTTACTATCTTGTCCGTGGCCAGTAGTCTTATCTGGTTTATTAAGGGCACAGTTTTCTTGATGCAGCTGCTCTCTCCCCAGAGAGCAGTTCTATAACATCACAGATTCAGACGCATACTCAAGTGCATTTTACAGGTCACCACACTGAGGACTGCAGCTGCAAAACTCATATGTAGTGTCTAAATATGGTACGAGCCCGATCATTTTAGGTTACTTTCATTACAACATCTCGTGTTTGACATTTCCACAAAAGCAGACCTCTACATTCTTGGAATTGCCATGTCCACCACTGCGGCTTTCCTCTGCCCTTTGTCTCCCACCATGTCTGGTTGGTTCGCCATTACCATTTGTTCAGTCTGTGTCTGGAAGTCCCAGAGGATCTTCACCGATCATTTTTCCACCACCTTTGGAGGAGTTTCCCATTTTGACCTTGGTCACTTGGTTGGTTATGGTTATGGCCATGTAGGCTTTCTCTGCCAGAATCTGGACCCTGCAGTTATATGTTGGATCGTCTCAAGTGCCTTTTTGACACCCATCAAAAACTCATATTGAGAAAGGTTGGAGTTTCCCCTGGAATAGTTGTTTATGTGATAAATAGAAAGTCTCTTTCTGTTACCCCCATATCCTCGTTCTCTCAAGCGTGAATATTCTGGCTCTGTTCATCCACATCCAAAGAGGCTGATACTCTCATTATGAAATGTGTTTATCCAATGCTTCAAACTACCTTTGCTTGAATATGTTCAGTTTTTGTGCCTATCACTTGTTTCTATTTTCACATACGCACAGTAATTTATAACAATATGGCAAAAAACAGGCACAACCCCATCTGTTAGTACACCTCTGAATCAGTCCGAGTGAGCAGGTGGTGAACTGGAGAACTCATTCAGGGTTCATATAGAGACCGGTACCTCGTGTGTCTGTGGTCAGCTACGTCATAACAGCACACTATACTGCCCCTCTGCACATCAATAGCAACATAGGAGATATTCCAGATGCAAGAATGTGTATATTCATACCATGTACCATTAACTAGTTGCATATGTGCTGGATACATAAATTGCACATATGCATATACAGAAAGTGGAACTTCAACTTCACAAATGATGCATAGAAAATCAGTAAAAAGGAATTTTTAGGTGTGCAAAAATAAATGGACAAAATCAGGGATGCACCGATACCACTTTCTTCAAAACTGATACAAGTACGAGTACCTTAATTTGAGTACTTGCCCATACGGAATACCGATACGAGTACTGTAAATATTGCTTAATTGTGTTATCCCTGGGAATCTATAAAACTAATACAACTGAAATATTTACGGTATATATATATTTTTTCTTATCAACAATACAAAAATGCTTTAATAATTAAACATTTTAGCAATTGTTTTAACAGTCAACAATAAGAGACACTGTTATATTCCACTCATACAAATGGTACAAATACATAGCTCCGGTGCTAGCAAAGATGTTATACTCTGTGTGGTGGGGAGTTTTCAGAAGTTTGTTCAATTTGCTAGTGTTGTACGAGTTTGCTTTGGACCCACCTCATGACAGACCAGAAAGAAAGACCAGAGGGAGGGACCAGAAAGAGAGACTTTGGAGAGGCCAGAGAGAAACCAGATAGAGGCCAGATTGAGACTAGAAAAAACAGAGAGACCAGACAGAAGCCAAAGAAAGGAACCAGAGAGAGAGTCCTCTAAACTAATTGCCACAGTGCATGCAAGCCACAAAAGATTTGATCCAGGACCTTCTTGTTATGAGTACTAGTGCTAACCACTGCCCCAAATGCCGCTGGGGCAACCGTTGGTTTGGAACCCTTTAGACATTGTAACCAAAGTAATTGAATTTATTTATTTATTTGGATGGGACAGTGTGTATTTGTGAATAGCAGTGTAGATACACCAGATTGTAGCTCATTCACCTGTAATAAAATATTTTAGTGGTAGGGAAAACCAGAGGACCCAAAGAAAAACTACCCGCGTCTTTCTGACCCCACATGTTCTACGTGATCGAGGGCTATACAAGAATAAATTGAATTGAATTGAACTTGTCCCTGATCTCCTGTTGGTACTGGATGTGTCCAGTCTGACAGATTGAGCAGATCTCTGTGCTGCCGGGGCATGTAACACTGACTTTAAACCCTTTTCACATTATAGGCGAAGTATTTTCAAAGAGAGTCATACGTTTCTCTGACAGCTGTTTCACAGCATCTAGTTCTGACCAAAGGTCTGCTGCTATGTCTGCCCTTTGTTGAGTTGTCAGAAAATCACTTTTTAATGTAGAAATAAGCAATACTCATGGTGGTTGTGGTTTAACATGTATTTTTATTTATTTATATCTTATTGTTGTTAGGGTTAGGGTCATGTAAATTTCTCCTGTGTGAGATCAATAAAGTCTATCTTATCTTCTCTTATCTTATCTTATTATGCCAATTCAGGAACAACAGGAGCTGTAAATTCACCTATTATACATGTTTTTAGAGGTAGGGGAAACCGGAGTACCCGGAGAAAACCTACGCAGACACAGGGAGAACATGCAAATTCCACACAAAAAGGTCCTAGAGAACAATCTCACTGTGAGGCACACATGCTAACCACTGTGCCACTGTGCCGCCCTGACAGCGTCTGTCTGACCCCACATGTTCTCAGCCCAAAGAGCATCGTCTTGAGCAGAACTTCAGATCAGATCTGGAGTCTCTGGTTTTCACCAAAACATGGAACCCGTCCTCATTTTGTTGATTTAATTCCTCATACTCACCTTGAAGCAGCTGTCAATCACACTTTACTGAAGGGAAAGGTCATCAGAAATGCCCGCCCCATCCTCTGTGAGACGTACAGCTGCAAACAAGGTTGAAAGTCAAAATGAAATGAACAGAATTTAGATCTGTCCATGAACAAGAAACCAGAGCCTGTCCCTGTCCTCTTCCAGACGCAACTCAAAGGACCTGAACATGTGGTGTCAGCAGATCTTCTGTTGCCCTCATCCGGTCTGGTCAGACCCAATGATAGCAAATTCTGAAATGTAAATTCTTAAATTAGTAGAACATTTTGAGCTTACAAGGTGGTTGCAGCTTCAGGGATTTCCCCGTAGACCCTGAAGCTGTACAGACAGGTGTGGTCCTCGTGGCCATGGTTGGTCAGGACCTCCAGCTTCACAAACTTGAATATCTTGGAGTTGTGCTCCTTGATCTCAAAGGTCTGGAATGAGTCTCTGCCAGACTCGTACTGGAACGTTCCCAGTTTGACCTTCGGTCCATCCACTCCCTCCAGTAAACGTAAAGGGAAAAGGCCTTCGGAGCCAACAGGATCTCCCCTATGACCGACTGCTCTTTAGAGATGTGCCCCACAGTGATGTGAGACACATGAATCTTCTGAGCCAGTGCCACAAACAGCTCTCCTGTCTGGCCAGAGAAGGCCCAGCAGTGCCCAGGGACCAGAGGGTAATGGTGGCCCTTGATCATCTCCCCTAGAGAGTAAGGTGTCAGCCGACTGGGAGAACCCTTTTGTTGATGAGATCTGGAGCTGAGAGCAGTTAGGATCTGAGCTCCATGCGACGCCAACGCAAAGTTTCCCCAGATCCTGCTGGAGATGATGCAGTCCCTTCCTCTGGGTCCACAGGTGGTCCTAAGAGACCACCAAGGCCGTCAGAGAGAAGAGGAGCTTTAGGGCCAAGCCCCAGCTGAACCAGTTGAACCAGCGGCAAGAACTCGTCTGCTCAGACCTCTGGCTGAGGTCTCTGCACTGGCTCAAACCTCAGGGCTGGCTCAGACACATGGATCTGTGCGAGTCTCACTCGGCCCTGGGGGAAACTGTCACACCGAGTCGTAGTGGAGTAGGAGATTCGGGGGCTGCTATATACATCGTAGTACCCTGCATTCTCAAGTCGTGCACTTCTTCGCGACATTCTAAAATGTACAAACAAGAATTATCAAAGTAAAGGATATTAGCTCACCTAAAGATTATCTTAGCTGATCAGGTTCGATCAGATTCCTCTCTATGACATCAACTAAATCTCCATGGCAACCAGGCGACCTGGTGACCTCTGGAAACCACTTCCAGTAGCCATTTTTTTAATTAAAGTGAGGTCTAATCTATCTATCTATCTATGAATGCTAATGCTAATATGCTAAGACACTACTATACTATATTACTATACTAGTAGTACTGTATTATCTTTAATAATACATACAGCTTGACTTCAGGCACACAGAGCAGGGTGTCAGGGACATCGCTGTTTTATCTTACAACGATTGGACCAATTCAATCACAGAGAACTCCACTTCTAAAGTAGTCAAAAATACGATAGTACAATATTACAGCGCACAACATGCACACTCAAGCTATTGTTAAAAACAAGGGAGATTGTGTGTTAAAAATAACCCACACTAATTATACGTAAAAACTATTTTTTAAACGCACTGGAACTAGCTGAGTGTGGGTCCTGAAGCATCAGAGGCAGCTGTAATGGAAAGTTAAGGTGCCATGTTCCATTCATACAGTCACTGGCCAAGTACACTAGACACAGAAAGTATGTGTCACTAAAGGTGCTTCATGCACAAAATCTACACTTTTCTACTGCCTACTTAAAAAAAAAAGACTTAATTACTTATAATACACAAGCACACAATTCCTTTTTACTTTATAACTCTCAAATCATTTGTTTCTTTCTCACAGCTATGCTCACACAGACAATGTAGAATAATAAAAAAAATTGAATAACCCAGAGTAGTAAATGTTTATTATAAGGTTAATCACTCTAGTCCAACTTTAGACAGGCAATTCACATAATATAGTTGTGTTTTACCTTTTAAACATTTAAACTTACAGTGCCTTGCGAAAGTATTCGACCCCCTTGAACCTTTCAACATTTTGCCACATTTCAGTCTTCAAACATAAAGATATTAAAAAATATATTTTTTGTCATGAATCAACAACAAGTGTGACACAATCGTGAAGTGGAACGAAATTTATTGGATAATTTAAACTTTAAAAAAAAATAAAAAACTGAAAAGTGGGGCGTGCAATATTATTCGGCCCCTTTACTTTCAGTGCAGCAAACTCAGTCCAGAAGTTCAGTGAGGATCTTTGAATGATCCAATGTTGTCTTAAATGACTGATGATGATAAATAGAATGCACCTGTGTGTAATCAAGTCTCCGTATAAATGCACCTGCTCTTTGATAGTCTCAGGGTTCCGTTTAAAGCGCAGAGAGAACCATGAAGACAAAGGAACACACCAGGCAGGTCCGAGATACTGTTGTGGAGAAGTTTAAAGCCGGATTTGGATACAAAAAGATTTCCCAAGCTTTAAACATCTCAAGGAGCACTGTGCAAGCAGTTATATCGAAATGGAAGGAGCATCAGACCACTGCAAATATACCAAGACCCGGCCGTCCCTCCAAACTTTCATCTCAAACAAGGAGAAGACTGATCAGAGATGCAGCCAAGAGGCCCATGATCACTCTGGATGAACTGCAGATAACAACAGCTGAGGTGGGAGAGTCTGTCCATAGGACAACAATCAGTCGTGCACTGCACAAATCTGGCCTTTATGGAAGAGTGGCCATTTCTCAAATATATCCAATAAAAGTCTCTTAAAGTTTGCCACAAGCCTCCTGGGAGACACACCAAACATGTGGAAGAAGGTGCTCTGGTAAGATGAAACCAAAATCAAACTTTTTGGCCACAATGCAAAACGATATGTTTGGCGTAAAAGCAACACAGCTCATCACCCTGAACACACCATCCCCACCCCAGCTGTAGTTATCTGCAGCTCATCCAGAGTGATCATGAGCCTCTTGGCTGCATCTCTGATCAGTCTTCTCCTTGTTTGAGATGAAAGTTTGGAGGGACGGCCGGGTCTTGGTAGATTTGCAGTGGTCTGATACTCCTTCCATTTCAATATAATTGCTTGCACAGTGCTCCTTGAGATGTTTAAAGCTTGGGAAATCTTTTTGTATCCTAATCCGGCTTTAAACTTCTCCACAACAGTATCTCGGACCTGCCTGGTGTGTTCCTTTATCTTCATGGTTCTCTCTGCGCTTTGTTATAGAATTATATACCCCATGAAGGAGAAAACTCAAAGGTCCTTTGTCTGATCAAAAGCGTAAGTTTATTGTTAACGCCCGTGCGGAGAGCCAGCACATACACTCCAAAAGCAGCATGTCCCAGCTCTGGGGGCCAGAGCCCCGAGCTTCCTGTATACAAGACACACACGAAAGCCAGTCCCGCCCACAACAGATGGGAGGGGGGCCACCGGTGCAGGATGTAGAGAGTGCACACATACAGACCGATACATATGCAAGAGGTGAAAGGGGGCAAGAGTGATAGCCATTGTCTGTAGGTGTCGGGGGGGCCCGGCTCCTTCCTGGCAGCAGGGACATATGGATAGGAGCAGGCATACCGATTCAAGATACGAAAGACACAAGGGTGTGACAGACAGCAGGGGGCCCTCACAAAGCTCAGCATGGCGTCAGAAGGTCGTCTCTGCATTGATAAAAGGCCTTTGACGTCCGTGTATTTGCTGCGGCTGGTTTTATGTAATTACTCCAAAAACTGTCACCACAGCTTTAAACAGAACCCTGAGACTATCAAAGAGCAGGTGCATTTATACGGAGACTTGATTACACACAGGTGCATTCTATTTATCATCATCAGTCATTTAGGACAACATTGGATCATTCAAAGATCCTCACTGAACTTCTGGAGTGAGTTTGCTGCACTGAAAGTAAAGGGGCCGAATAATATTGCACGCCCCACTTTTCAGTTTTTTATTTGTTAAAAAAGTTTAAATTATCCAACAAATTTCGTTCCACTTCACGATTGTGTCCCACAGTTTGTTGATTCATGACAAAAAATTTAAATTTTATATCTTTATGTTTGAAGCCTGAAATGTGGCAAAATGTTGAAAGGTTCAAGGGGGCCGAATACTTTCGCAAGGCACTGTAACATACTTTGAGCTTTACTTGAACCAGAGACCCTATTAGAACATTTGCTTGAATATTGTTAGTCTAATGTTACTGTATTGTGTTATACGTATATATTCTGGACATACACTGTAGTATGAATTCCTATATCGCCCGCCTAAGTCCAACAATGATTTTATATAGGATTTTTTGAGCCTTGTGACGGACATCGCTGTGAAATGGGACTATTTTATACTTGCTGGTGACTTTAATATTCATGTTTCCTGCGAAACAAAACTTCTAGTCAAGGAATTTCTGAACATTCTAGACTCTTTTAGCTTAACTCAGTCTATAAATGTTCCGAGGGACACATTTTAGACCTAGTGTTGTCTCACGGGCTAAATGTGAATATCAGGGACATATGTGACTTGGGGATCTCTGATCATATGCCCGTGTTGTTTTCAATTTCAATATCTTACACAAAAACAAATGGGTGCGTTCCCGTACGCAAGCGGCGTATTTGCTCTTCTACAGCTCCTCTTTTCTCTGCAGCTTTTAATGCCTCGCCTCTGAGCGCTTCCTTAACCAACTTGAAAATGCATGACATGGTTAACCTCCTTGATTCCACTTGCACTGAGATTCTTGACTCTATTGCGCCTTTTACGCACATGCGCCCAAAGCCTGGAGAGTCGTGGCACAATGCCACAACGCATGCTCTTCCCTGGGAATGCCGCCGCGCGGAGAGGAAATGGAAAACAGACAGACTTCATGTGTCCCTGGGAAGTTTAAAAGACTCTCTTACAAACTACCAAAGAGCTATAAAGTCAGCAAAGACTAACTACATGTCCAACCTTGTTACCAAAAACTGTAACGACCTCAAAGTTCTCTTTAATGTGTTAAACAGAATTGTAAACCCAGTTGAACATACTGGTGTTTCCCCATCTGTTTCTTTATGTGACCAATTCTGTAAATTTTTCAAAGAAAAAGTGTTATCTTTGCGCTCTTCAACCATCTGTGCTGTAGTGGATCCCAGTCTTGTCTCTCCCTGTTCAGCTATTTTTGCAGATTTTGAGCCCATCTCTCTGTCCGAATTACTACAGACTGTTCAAACTCTTAAGGTGTCTAACTGTCCTTTAGATGCCCTGCCTGCGAGAATGTTTAAAGATGTTTTAGATTCTGTTGGTCTTTGTATTTTAAACCTGACCAATCAGTCACTTGAAGAGGGACTGTGCAACCTTTGCTAAAAAAGCACACTTTGGACACATCTGTCTTGTCCAATTTTAGGCCATTTTACTAAATTGCCTTTTCTATCTAAGGTTTTAGAAAAGTTAGTTCTTAACCAGCTCCAGTCGCACCTTAAATCAAATGATATTTTTGAAAAATGTCCATCTGGTTTTAAATCATTGGACAGCACAGAAACTGCACTGTTGAAAATGTTAAATGATCTTCTCTGACTCCGGAAGCCCCTCTGTGTTGGTGCTTCTAGATCTGACAGCAGCGTTCGACACTGTCGATCACAACATTCTTATCTCCCGCCTTGAGTCCTGTGCTGGAATTAAAGGCACAGCACTCAAGTGGTTCCACTCGTGGTTGCAGCTCAAAGAAAGCCTCTCTTGACAGTGGTGTACCGCAGGGTTCCGTTCTAGGACCAGTTTTATTTTCGCTGTACGTTGCCCTCAGGCTCGATTTTCAAAAAACATAACATTTCGTTTCACTGATTTGCCGTCGATGTTCAAATCTATTTGCCTTTGAATGTAAATTCTGATTCCGTCCAAGCATTGCAGAAATGTCTTGACGATGTGAAAGACTGGATGTCTATACATTTTTCAAACTTGAATGACAAGAAAACAGAAATTATGTTGTTTGGTGAACCTGACCTATATCTGTTATCAATGGTGTCTGTAGCATGTCTTCTTACTGCTGCCCATTTGCAAAAGATCTTGGTGTGTATTTTGATGGTGCTTTTAAAATGGACAAACAAATAAGTTCAGTTGTCAAAG